GTCTGAAGTGGAATCGTTCTCACTTCCTCACTCGCATCGTGCTGTATGGGAAGGGTGATCCTGGGCACTGGCTGGACCGCAAGCAGGTGCACTGGCTCCAGTTCCCCGTCTGGACCCCAGGACTAAAGGAGGAGAGACGAAAAGGGGGGCAGGTGCTGGGGACAGGCCTCCTCGCCCCCCCAAGAACTGGCAGCGGGGGCCTCCTCCGTGGCGGTGAGGGGTTCACACCCGCTTTGCTCCGCCTCCGTCTACTTTGTTTTCAGCTGAGCCCGAGGAAACAAGGGAAGATGATATTTATGTGAAAAGACAGAAAGCAAGAATGTATGTTAACCTGCTTTTTACGAGAACTGCTGTTTGATGTTGAGAGGGCGCGAGAGCCCGCGTTCGCCCCGTGTCGGGACAGGAGTCACTTCGGTGAGGACGAGGACGCTTGTGTAGCACAAAACTGCGTCAAGGGGAAGAGGAGGAGAAAAGACAATTTTCCTTTTCGAGCAGAGTCAGGTTTCATTCTCTGTCTTGTTTTTTTTGTCCTAAAACAACTGCCTCTTTTCGAACCTGGGGCGAAGCAGCTGTTCCCCCCCAGGCAGCCTCAGGGGACACGCTGTCCAGCCCCCACCCCAGCCCCGGGCACGGGGGGCGGTGGCCTTCTTACAAAGTCTGCTTCTGTGGAGCCTTCTTCAGTTCCTTGAATTCGGTTCAGCTCAGCTGGGACGGGAGCAGCGCGGAGCGTGTGGCCGTGGCCGTGCGTGTGACCGTGGCCGTGCGTGTGGCCGTGGCCGTGCGTGTGGCCGTGGCCGTGAGTCCGGCCGTGACAACCGGGGGATGCTCAAGGGTTCCCCAGCAGTGCCCTCCAGCAGCATGGGCTGTCCCAGGATGAAGCTGTGATCAGTCAGCCTTGTGGCCACGGCCGAAAACTTAGGAACCACAGACTTTTCTCATCAGCTACCTTTTTAGAAGAACAACCACCAGCACCAGACAGGCGGCAGCGGGGTGGAATGACCACGAATCGCTCGCTGTTCGCCGGGCTCACACGGTCCCTGCCCCGGTGGGCGGGTTTCGTTGCCATGCTGTGGGCAGCTCTCAGGCCCTGATGCTGCTTTTGGAAACTGGTCTTAAGCCGACAGAAGTTAGGCAGGGGTTTTGTTGTTGTTGTTTTTCTATACCGTTTCTTTGAGAACAGCAGAAACGCTGTGAACGGGAAATACGAAAAGCCAGTGTGTGCGTGAGAAAGGGTGACTCTGTGCCTGTGGGTCCTTGACTCTTCACGGGGCTCTACCCTGGTGGCAGGCTGAGCCGTAGGCGGAAGATGGCGATCCGGAGCTCTGGGCTGCTGAGGGCGCCAGTGCCGCTGTGATCTCCACGCTGTTACCGCTTTCGTTATTATTGTAACGAAACTGCCTTTTGTGTGTGTGTATTGAAGAGGGTTTTCTCCCTTTCTTTCTTTATAAGCTAGCGCAAATGAAGGAAGAGCGTTTTCCTCTGGGTTGTAGGCTGCTTGGCGGGCACAGGGGCCGCTGCCAAGCTCTCTCTCTGTGTGCCAATCGACGGCCGCCTCCCGGGCCCGTGACGCCTCCACGGCGATGTTACCCACCTGACACCGGCCGCCGCAGCGGTCACATGTGAAATGACGGCCCATCCTGCCGGGTGGGAAAAGTTGAAAATGCCCTGGTTCCAGGTCAGTTAACGTGGTCAGTAATTCCTGTAGCATTAATGAAAATCCGCTGGAGATGTCCGGGGTAGCATTGAATGTATCTGCAGAGCCTTTGGGAACTCCGAGAGCTCCTTGCTCAGATGGGGCCTTGCCCTTCCGTTTGCCAGGCTCCGGGCTCACAGAATCCCCGCCCCCCGCCCCGGGATGGGTCACCATCATCACGCGTGCCGTCGGCTGCTGGAGCCCGCCTGGTGGTGAACAGAGCAGGCTGGCAGTGCTCATGCCAGGTGGGTTTCCTGCAGAATGTTCAAGAATGTCTTGCCCAGCTGAGCTGTATCGCCTCGTCACAGGCCCTGAAGCCTGACCCAGTTGGGCACGAGGCTGGCAGCCGGCGTCAGGGAGAGTTGCTGTCTCAATCTGGAGACACGGGCACCGGGTGGCCCTTCCTGGCTTCCCCGGCTGCAACGGGGCTGTTGCTGGAAGGTGGGCCAGCGGGTTCAGGCTCTGCGCCAGAAGCCTCTGAGCGTCCCCCGCAGGGCCTCAGAGGGCCTCAGAGTTTCTATGACAACCTTAATGATTATCAGGAAATACTGCCAGTCTGCGAACGTCCCCGCTTTAGAAAGGAACAGCATGTAGCAAGGCTGTGCGTGCAGAAACCACGCCTGGATGGCGTCACGTGTCTGTTAAACACAATACCTCAACTTTACAATGTGGTTGGTTTTTTTTGAGAGAAATAATAGTTTTAATTTTTGTGTTTATTTGTTACCTAATTGCCTGAAAGCAAACACCAAACGCTGATGTCTGTATGTGGGGCAAAGGGTCAGTATGATGGTTTTCAATATTTTTTTCTTTTTATCAGCTATTTTGTGTTTAAAGTGAAAACTGTACGTGTCTGAAATAAATAATTTCTACAAATATGCTTGAGATGCAGTTATGCCTCGGGCACCGGGCTGCTTAGAGGAAGGACTTGCCTGATGAAAGGGGACAAGGGCTTAAAAGCGAGTGGAGCCCTCGCCCCCGCTCGCCCCGTGCAGGACCAAGTCGCCTCTAGAAAGAATCAGATAAGTCCAAGAAACAATAGCAATTTCTCGAAAGACTTTAATTGTACAAATGTTTCCCCAAACGAATCCCGGGGCTTCCGGAAGGGTGTGGGTGCCGGTGCCACGTTTACCGTCCCAGCGGGGAAGGAAGGGGATGGGCCGCGGCTCATCGGGGGGCTGTTTACTGAACAGGGGGCGTCAGCGGGATCACAGAGCTGCCGCGGCCTCCTGAGCGGCAGCCTGGAACCGTCCCCTCTCGCAAAGGGTCTTTGGCAGGAAAACCCGGACCGCAGCCCGCCCGCGCCTCCCCGACGGACGAGAGCCATCCCGCAGCTCTGTGTCAGCGGCGCCAGGCTGGGGGCCCAGAGACTGGGTGGCTCAGGCTGCGAGCCGAGGCCCCGCGGGGCGCCCGGAGGGAAGCCACGGAGGCCACGGCCGCGCCTGCCCGGCCCACCGCCTCCAGGGCGCCACTGTCTCCTTCGAGCTTGGTCCCTTGGTCCCGGTCCGGCAGAAGGCGCCACAGGAAGCAGATGTCCGCAGGGGGCGGGAGGGGGGAGGAGGTGCCCTGCTCTTCTCCAGGTGTCGCTGTCGGTCACAGTGCTCTTTTCTGCGAGACCCGGGCGAGCGGTGGGCGAGTCTCGGAGAGAAGGCCAAAGACACGCAGCTGTCGGAGGAGCCGCTTAGGAAGCCCTTCCCTGCTCGTGAGGCGCAAGGACGCCCGGCCTTTCTCGGGGTCCGTGAGCAGAACCGGCCACAGGTGGGAAGCCGCCGGCCTGTGTGCTCTTCAAAGGCCCCGAGCTTTCTTCCTTTTTTTTAATTCAAAAAGTTTTTTCTTTAAAGCGATCTCTACACCCCACGTGGGGCTGGAACTCACGACCCCGAGATCGAGTCCGAGCACCCCACCGACGGAGCCCGCGGGCGCCCTAAGGCCCCGAGCTTTCAGATGTGGCCCGGCAGCGCGGGGTGGTGGCAGGCGGGCTGGCGGTGGGGCGGGTGCACAAGCAGTGACAGTCAGGGACCGTGAGCCCCGTACCGTCCTCCAAATGCGGACCGGTCCGCGTTTTCGTTGCGGGAGCCCTTGCCTTCCGCAAATGTGTCACTTAGAAAACAAAACACCACCTCACCCACGTCCTGTTTCGTAAGAAGTTTTAGGCGACAGTCCACACGAATAGAGTTTTTTCAGTAAAATCGTGAAAGGTTCATACCATAGACGCATGAAATCCTCGGCTAAGGGTGCTCTAAGGCAATTTCAGATTGCTTAACACGGCCGCTCAGGGCTCACGGATCGCTCACCGAGTCACGGAAGCTGCATTTTAACCTTTCGTGATGCCTGTTGAAGAATGGATTGGTCAGGAGGACACTCGTACCCTATTTTGGGCTTTGGGTTTCTGTTCTGCGCAACAGGGACTTTGCAACATTCGGTGTTGTGTGACTTCCTGGGGTGTGTGCCCAGCAAGAGCAAGGGAGAGGCTGAGGGACAGACGGCCCCCCGTGTTGGCCCGCCCGGGCCCAGACCCGCACAGGTGCACAGTAGGGACTCCGTGGGTGGGTCTGATGTGGGCGCAGAAAGGTAAGTCGGTCCCCAGGTGGTTCTGAGGAAGGTGGTCGCGAGCCCCAGGGTGACTGAAATGTGGCCATTTCTAGGAGGAGGCGGGTGCTGTGGGGGCTTCAAATTTCGGGACGTGGCGTCCTTCAGCCCGTTTCCGGGGACAGGTCCGAGGGTCTGAGGAGCTCCCGCCCCAGTCCCAGACCGCTGACTCACGATAGCCGAGTCCCCGGGCCTGAGTGGGAGCCCCCAGGTCCCCCTCTGTGCAGCCAGAAGTGAGGGTCTCTGTGCCGGAGGCCACGAGGCCGGAGCGGGCTTCTGTAGCAGCGTATAGTATTAACTGGAAACAATCTGTGGACAGCAGAGAGGGACGGCACCGGCCACACTGGCCGCCGGGAAGTTCACGGCCCCTTTTTGGTAGAAAGGACCTATTACAATTCGCTAATAATGGCGGCTGGCATTTGTGGACCGTCCAGCACATGCTGCACAAA